TGGTAGAAAGCCAAGCAAGGTATGCGGCGCGTAACATGCGGTTGATAGTTTAGGGTTTAGGGTTCGGGTTCAGGGCATTAGGCACGGAGTACCGTATGAGGACAATTTGAAGAAGGCTTTCGTCGTCGCAATCGTCACGATTACAACAACCATCACCATCACTATCACAACCTTCACTGTCACCACCATCTCAGTAGCATCCAGTAGCAGCCACAGTTATCGGGGAACTGCATCTGCGGACATGCTTAAATAAACACCACGCCATATTCCAGGCTGAACGAAGCCTCAACCCGCCATCCAAAACGTCTCAACCCTGGTGCCGCACATTCCGATACTTGAGCCCTTGTCCCATTCTCCAACCCAACCCCAACATGGGACCTCCAAAGACCCTGCACACCACCTCAGATCAACTGAACAAAGCCTAAACCCTTGAGCCTTCAACCCGAACAACATCGTAAACCCTAGACAGCGAATACACGCCACCGCTAAAGTCGCCCCGAAGCACTAAGCCCTAAACCCCTTAATCTGACAGGCCTGTGCCTCTCAACACCCAAAAGTTTTAAGCCCCAAAACCCCACAGGACCCCTCATAAAACAGCACAAGAACCCCAGAACGCGAAGACCTAAAAAACCCCAAAAGCCCAATTCCTAAAGCCCACAGCCTGAAGCCCAACATGTTAGACAAAACCACCCTGAACCCTGCGAGACGATTTTTTACACTAAATTCCCATCAGGGTTCTGTACAATCCTATAAGGATCTGTCCTGGCTTTACAGGGATTTCGTGGGGTTTTGGGATTCGGACAACCATGCAAGAACCTTGAACGCCTCCCATTTTTCAAGAACTCCAGGATTTAGGGTTCAGGATATTTACCTTACAAAACGCAAACATCTCTAAAAAGGGGCATAAGATATTTACCTGAAAAAGCGCAAAAAAAAACCTGTAGAAAGGGGCTTATAGGGTTTTATAGGGTCTATAGGAGCCCTGAACTCGAAACCCGCCTCGCCCCGGCCGTCAGGGGCGACGCGCAGCTCGAAGTCCATCTCGCGCTCGTCCTTTAGGGTTTATGGCTTTTGGGGTCTAAGGTTTAGGGTTTCGGGTTTATGGCTTTTGGGTTTTAGTCATAGGGAGCCTTAGGGGGTAGGGGGGTAGGGGGTTTTAGGGTTTAGGGCCCTAAGCTCCAAGGCTTTTGGGTTTTGTCATAGGGACCCTTAGGGGGGTGGGGGGGTAGGGGACTCTACTTCCTTAGATTGGCCTTAGCCGGTCCTTAGTGCTGGTTTTTGAGGCCCGGGTTTGTATGATTTTTGGGTTTGGGGTCTGGGTTTAGGGCTCTAGGGGCTCATAAAGGTAACAAGAAGGGCTTGTAATTACCCTAAACGCTAAAACGCTTAGATCGGGGGCTGTAGGTTTTTTCTAGGGTCTATAACAAGTTTCAATCAAGGTTTCTAGGGCTCATAACAGGCTTCATAATCGGGCTTTCAGAGTTTATGGGTTTAGAAGTTTAGGGCTTTATGGGTTTATGGGATTGGGGTTACGGGTTTCGCAGGGATTGTAAGGCTAAATTTAGGACTAGGAGTGTAGGCTCGCCAGGGCCTTGTAAGGATTGGATCGACTTCAGGGTTTGGTACGGGTTTCCTGTAACTCAATAATGACCAATATTAGGTCCTTAGGGTTTAGGGGTTTAGGGTTTATCGTTATGGTAGAATGGGCCCCAAGACCCAATTCTAATTGTTAAGGCCCCTGCAGACTGCACTCTAGGGCGCTGAAGAAGGTTGTGTCTGAGGCTCGCAAAACTGGGGCTCCTTCTTGCAATAGGACCTTATTACATTGTTTCGGATCTACACTGAAGGCTTGTGAATTAATTAGGGCTTTTGGGGGTTAGGGCTTTTGTTGTTTTGGGTGCTCGGGAGTCTTTGCTTATGGATCGGGGCAAGAGCCTAGAAGTTCTACAGCCTAAGCCCTCGCAGCTGCCGGGTCTCGCGAACGTAGCTTAGACTGCGGGCCTAAGGCTCGAACGGAGGATGAAGAAGCAATCAGGAAGCCGAGCTGTGAGTAGACCCTGGATGCAGTTGCCCAGAAGAGCTCTAAACGTCCCTGCATCCTGAACCCGGAAAGCACTACAACCCCTGCGACCTGCACAAAGGATACTTGTAAACCGCGGTAGGTCTTCGTCCCCCGGATTTCCCGTTGACGACTTCGAAAGAAACAAGGCCAAGGGGTGCTGCTGGGCTAAATGGGGGTTTAGGGCTTAGTGGCTGAGCGTCTTGAATACGATTGTTTATTCCTTGGGCCTTGCAGGCCAGCGAGTCATAAAGGCTTGCAGCTTGCGGACATGAAGGGTTCATGTACCTTAAGAACCCAAAACCCACTTTTTTGTAGGTTCTTATTCTGATCCCTAGTATGGGATTTATTGGGACCCTACAAAAAAGTAGGTTTTGGGTTCTTAAGGTAAACCCTAAACCCTAAACCCTAAATTCTAAACCCTACAAAAAAGTAGGTTTTGGGTTCTTAAGGTAGGTATTATGTATACGAAGCAGACCCGACCAAGCTCGACAGGAGTTGCCGGACCATGCTACCACAAGTAACAAAACTAGGGCACCGCAGTATACACTGATATGCTACATTGAAGTATACAGCAAGTTCTTAACAACAATATGCTTCTGGGTCTGGGCCCAGTTCATGACTTGTCAAAGGACCCCTCGTCAGGAACCCTTTGAGTCCTGCCAGGTGCGATCCAGACCACGCCTCTGCAACACTCGGGTTTAGGGTTCAGGGTTTCGGGTTGGGGTTTGGGGCTTTCGAGTTTCGGAGTGGTGCTCCAGTCAATGTTCGGGACAAGGCAGTGCTAGAGAGAAGTGTTGAATACCCGACTCTGCTAGTTTGCCGGTATACGCTTCGAACTTTCTTCGGCAGGGGCTGAAGTCGATTGCACCGCCGAGCCTAAGACGCAAACCAGGTGGCCAATGGCTATGAGTAGCCACGGCTTAAGGCTTTAGAGTATAGGGTTTGGGATGAGTGAGGGGTTGAACTCTGTTGAAGTTCGCTACTGAAGGCTCGGGGCGGAATGGAAGTTATGTGAGGACTATCATGTTGATAAGTGCATCATGCACTTATCATCACCAGTACTGTAACTACAGCTCATGGATGGGTGTGTATTTTCTATACTTTAGCTTTGCATTTTCTTTGGCAAACCCACAGACAAGGCAAGATTGTCGCAACATCATGTAAAGCCTATTGGTATTGACTTTCCCTCCCTGCAAGGTTTTCTGTATGGTAACGCAGATGCCTGATGGATAACCCTCCCTCCTCTGTAAGGGCCTCAGAGGGTGGATCTCTGTTGCGTAATCTTTGCTAGTAAAACCAAAGAGTCCATCACCCAAAGGTCCACGGTCCCCTATGAAATTGCCTGACAAAACATCAGGACTTGCAACCATAAAGCCTTCAACACGGGGATGCCTGGCCGGACGACGGGCGGACGATGCTGCTTCCTGTCAGCTCTCGAAGTGGAGCGAAGAAGAGTCTTAGAGACCCCATAGCTACGATTCCTTCGCTGTTAGCAAGGACGTCTACAACCATGACTTCGTCAAGTAACCTTCCTTATTCAACCGGGCCCAAGTTCTCCATCTTGGCTCAAGGGGGAATGCGAATGTGATTTCCGGCAAAAATCCCAAAACCGACAACAAGTCTCACCAACCTCAAACCTGAAACCCTATACCCTGAATCCCTCATCAAGAACTCCTGAACCTTCGACTCCGGAAGCTCGAGCACCTGCATAAAGTAACCCCAGAGTCTGAGTGTTCTGGTTGTCTGAAGCACGGCCAAGTCTGAGGCCCAGGTCTAAGGCATGGCTAACACAACCGCGTAAACCCTAAAACCTCGGATGCACAAGTATGCCCGCCAGCCCTCTCGTAAAGCTTACGGCCCCAAACCCGAACTCGAAACTCAAAATCCTTGACACTAAGTAAAACAGCAAACCCCAAAATCCAGAACGCAATGGCCAAAACTCTTAAACATCCCTATGACCCTAAACCCTTAACCCTTGAACAGTTAGAGCCTTAAACTTAAAGACCTCAAGGAGCTGTTTTCTGCGCTGTTCAAGTCTGCCATCCGCTGCCGAGCTTTGCGCAGGGGAGGGCCTGTCGCTTGGCCCCCGAACTAATACAGCCCAACTAATTCAGGGTTTAGGTTTAGGGTTTAGGGTTTAGGGTTTAGGGTTCAGGGTTTAGGTTTAGGGTTTAGGGCTTAGGGTTAAGGTTTAGGGTTTAGGGTTTAGGGTTTAGGGTTTCCCCAACTAATATAGGGGAGTTTCCGAAAATTAGGTGCACCTTCTCTTGGGGTCCTTATAACAAGGATCCTACTGTTGAGGGTACTATATTAGGGTCCCTATTTTCGGAAATCCCCGTATAGGGGCCTTGATAACTAGAACAAGCCTCTGGAGTATTTTGTAGCGTGTAGAAGAACTATATAAGGAGCCCTCCGGAACGGTATCAGCAATTTCAAGGCCTCGTTTAGCATTGTAGACCGCGGACAGGAAGCATCAAGGACTGATGTAGATCTCTGATTCTGATGAATAACCCCCACGCCTGATAGAGAGCAGTAGGGCTCAGAAAAACAGGGCCCTCAAACAAATACTGTAGGGGCCTAAATAATTACCAATACTATTCTGGGTCCTTATCATAATTGCGGTATAGTATACCCCACAAGCCTTTTCTAATCATTAAGGCTCCAATATTAAACATCGTCTCCCTTCTTATAGGCCCTGTTTTGTGTAGACCCCAACCCTCTTGAAATCTTTGACTAAGGGGCTGAGTGCCCTAGCCCAAAAAAGGTTAGCCTTTTGAATTGTAGTAATTAGGATCATATAAGTCCCAAAAAGTTAAAGGTTACCCACTAAACCCTAAACCCTAAACCCAAAACCCCAAACCCTAAACCCTAAACCCTAAGCCCCGAAGTTAATGAAGTCAGCAAGACCTGGGCTCCCAAAAGCCCTGGGCCTTGCATTTCAAGAGACGCGCCGGTAGGTGGCCTTGATCTCGCCGTCCTCATCGCAAGGAAGAGCTTGGGTTTAGGGTTTAGGGTTTAGGGCTTCGGGTTTTAGGGTTTAGGGTTTAGGTTTAGGGTTTGGGTTTAGGGCTTGGGTTTTAGGGTTTAGGGTTTAGGTTTGGGGTTTGGGTTTAGGGTTTAGGGTTTTACCAAACCCTATAGGGTTTAGGGTTTAGGGTTTAGGTTTTTTCCTGAGGGCCTGTACCTTGGCCTCGAAGAAGATGCTCTGGGATTACTTGGAAGGCACTGTCGACATGCTGTATGGGCACATGCTGCGTAAGTAAGGCTGCAGGTATGTAAGATGCAGTTATGGCTATACGTACCTTAACCCTATATACACCCTAAAACCTAAACCCTAAACCCCAAACCTACACCCTAAACTTTACCCTAAACCCTAAACCCCGAACCAAAACCCTCCGTACCAAGTCTCCTGAGTTTCTAAAGACATTCCCATGGCAGGGTGGCTACCTAGTAGGGTTTGCGTTGAGGCTTTTGGGGGTCCACCGTCAAAAAGGCGGACTCCACAAAGGGGCAAAAGCTTGCGAGGGTTCGAGAGAGGCTTTCCAGACCATGGGTAGGGTTGAGGCTTTAAGGTTTACGGTGGACGTCCACAAAAGCGCAAGCGGAAGCAACTCCAGCAAGCAGGAAGTCTTGAGGTTCGAGTGGTGATGAACGGATTGGCACGCCGCTAAATCCCAAAGCTTACGCAATGCTGGGGATGCTTCATCCCACATGCTCCTGTAAGATCGGACATTGCAACGTCCCACTCCAAGGGAAGCCTGGTTGCATGAAACCTTCAAGTGGAATCATGGAGAAATCGCACTTCTCGGAACCCCCCCAAAATCATTAACCCAACTGCGCCAAAAGTTCTGCATCCACCATAATCCCAGGCCTTGTTCGGCCCCTGAACGGACCAGTTCCACTCGAAACTGTCGGCCGAGTTCACACGCAGCTGTCCACCTGGGACCGGAAAAGCTCAAGGTCATGCCGGGGCCTATTGCTACATGATTGCAACTGAAACTTTTGCCACTGTGCAGAAAACCGTTTCTATCTGAATAATGAACAATGTGCTTGTCTGACTTCTCTGAAAGCGTACACCGTCCAGGAGCAAAGCTACTTCGGCGATATGCTCGTCTGGAACACGCGGGATTCTGCAGCCTACAGGCATCCCTTTTACAAGAGTGCTTACTTCATCCGGGAATCCAGAACCCTAAACCCTAAGCCCTAAACCCTAAACCGTAGGAATCCCGAACGTAAGAACTACCCACAGTAGCGGAGCTTTGGGCCCCCTAAACCCTAGACCCCGTGAACCCACTACAAAACCCCAGACCCCTGAACCCTCCTAGACCCCCCAACCACCCTCTAATATACCCTAAATACCCACTATTAAGGGCCAGAAGGGCTCTATTAAAGGGCCCTTGGGGGGTCCTGGCTTAAACCCCGAAAACCTTGAAGCCTGGGGCGAATTAGGCTATGCTTATAATAAGGACCTCCCAAAATAGTTTTGGTAATTATTCCGGCCCCTATATGACAGACCGATAAGTCCTGCCGAACGCGTCAAGGAACCCTCAAAGGAACCCTGACTTGGAGGTTCATGGGACTTTAAGAAGTACAGTTATAAGTACCCTAATTGGGGTTATATGTATAGGTACCTTATTTATAACCCCCCTAAACCCTAAACCCTAAACCCTAAACCCTAAAACCCTTCTTCTTCCTATGAACCTTTAAGTAAAGGAGTCCGGGGCACTGTAAAGGTCGTCGATGCAGAGGTGTCGAAACGTTCCTTCGCTTTCCGGCGAGCCTTCAATCCCGGGTTGCGGGGTTAGGATTTAGGGTGAACGCGGATTGCTGCGAGAGCCGGGGCTGGCACATCGGCTTACCCATAGGCCCCATAGTAGTTCCTTTTTGGGGTTACCCTTTAAGATCCTATAAGGTAATCCCAAAAAGGAACTAGTATGGGGCCTATGGGTATGTAGGGATGGCAGGATTTACTTTGAAGCGTTTGCTTGTATTGCGGGCTAGGCTTGCATGCCGGCTTGACACGTTGGGGAGTTCTATGCAAGCTGTGGAGGCAGGGGTACCCATAGGCCCCATAGTAGTTCCTTTTTAGGATTACCTTATAGGATTCTAAATATGAACCCCAAAAAAGAACTGGTATGGGGCCTAGGGCTTAGAGATAGCTGGGCCCTGCATCTTACGCTCCATCTGCTCAGAGCCGTGCATGCCATCATGAGGGGTTTAGGGCTTATAGGGTTTAGGGTCTAGGGTTTACAGGGATTAGGATTTATAGGGTTTAGGGTTTATAGGGTTTATAGGGTTTAGGGTTTAGGGTTTAGGGTTTATAGGGTTTAGGGTTTATAGGGTTTAGGATTTATAGAAGTTTAGGACCAACACCCCGGCTCAGAAAAGCTGCGGTTACATGAACACCACTCTTCGGCGTCTCGCATGGCCACTGCTTGTAAGGAAACTCTGAACGAAAGCGGGAGGAAGAGCCCGCAAGAGCGAACAGAGCAACTGCACAGCACAAGGATCGAAACTAGACTAGACAGGTATGCAAGGTGCAGCGTCTACTTGACTTTACTTTGTCACGCAAACTGAGGAAGCAAAGCTACACGAGTAGGACGGGTGCAAAGTCAAAGGATGTTCGACATCGCTAAGAACCAAGCTGCAGCAGCGGGTGAGCCCGTTTGGAAACCGTCATGTTATTTCTAGCAGAGACGTACGAGCTGATAGTCTACGCACCGTTTCCAAGAATTCGTCTCATAGGGCATCAGGTCCAAAAGCTACTGTTCAAGCCGGTCGGTCCTGCCCCCTCAAAGGCCAGGGGCACGAAGAAGGAGGTGTGAACATTCAGCTCCTTAGACACTTCGAAAGTCTAGGATCTACAACTTGCATCTTTTTTCACAAGCCAGCCGTAGCCCCGAACCCCGCCACAAAAACAGGCATCGGCTGAGGTCCCAGAATCACAAGGTCTAACGACCAAATTCCATATTAACGCTTTAGGGTGTAGGGTTGAGGGAATATGTCTGTATGTCTTGAATCCTGACGTATTCACAAGCCTACATACAAAATCCTCTGACCTCGAAGCAGGGGGGTGAAGGATAAACCAAGCCCTAGCTAAGGTAGCTTAGAAAGGCCTATAAAACCCTGGCTGGTAAAACACTGTACTACTCGCAGTTAGGACCTCTTACAAAATTAGATGGGTAGTTGTCTAAATTAGGGCACCTTTAGGGTCCTTTTTGCTATTTCGGGGACCTCAAAACGGACCCTGGTTTAGAGAACCAAAAGGGCTAAATAATTACCAATACTATTTTAGGGTTCCGTATTATCATTATAGCATAGTATTCCCCAAAACCCTACTCTAATTCTTAGGGCCCCCATCTTACCCATGTGGTGAACAGAAGCCCAGGGAAATCTGCCCAAGACCGGTCCAAGATTCCGGAAGCAACGAGGGCAGGTGCTTCTTGGTGGGATCCTGGGTCACTTTCGTCAGTAGAAGCATTTGTAAAATTGAGGGTGCGTGCAAACCCCCACCCTTTTGCTTGACCCAAAGGACTTTGGGACTGTATAATCCGAGCTCATGATACGAACATTCGTTCTCGCTTTTTGTTTAAATTCTTATCGTGTAACATGGATTTCGAATGCTCTCAAAGTGCGAGCGCATCTACTTCAAAGAATGCTCTCGGGGGTTGTTATCATCCCTCAATTGGGTTACAGGTATGTTTCGGTTATGCTACAGGGTTACAAAAGTTCTACAGTAACAGATGTCAGCAGCTATAGCAGCTGTAGGTGTTCAGGAGTGTTTAAGGTGCTGAGTATGCTGAAGAATTCAGGCAGTGGTGTGGAGGAAGGCTTTGTTGGCCTGAGGTTTATAGGACTTGGTGGGTGCACGCAACAGAAAGCCTCCGTCCAGACCAGGATCAGGAAGACAATCATCATCGGGTCAACAATTGACATGCGTGAGGGCAGCAATAGCGGAATTGCAAGCGCGGGCACTAAGTTCAAAGGCAAGAATTAAGCATATGGACAACTGTCGAAGTTGGCTCTATGCAGCAGAGGCATCATACACTACACCCATGCGTACATGTAATTCATTCATACATACATACATACATACATACATACATACATACATGCCTACGGATACTTACATACATACAGATACGTACATACATACATACATACATACATACATACATACATACATACACACATACATCCATGCATGCATGCATGCATGCATGCATGCATGCATGCATGCATGCATGCATGCATGCATGCGTGCATACATGCAAGCATATATGCACACAGTCTGGATATATACCTGCATGCATGCATACATACATGCGTACATACATAGACATGCTTTGCCTAACCTCACCCCTTATCTTACCTGAAGCGAGACTCAGAGAAAGCAGTACTCACACCCCGAAGCCCGAAGCCCTGAAACCCGAAGCTCTCAAGCCTTTACTGGAAGGCCCCCAAGGTGTAGGACTCTGGCATCCACGAAGTAGACCTGTCCGGGGTTGAGGACAGTTCGTGGTGGGCTATGTAATGTAGGGGCCTTAATAATCAGAATAGGATTTTGGGGTATATTAGACTGTAATTACAATGAGGAACCCCAAAAATAGTACTGGTAATTATTTAGGCCCCTACATTAGCTTTTAGGAAAGGTCCTGGAGACCTTGATCCAAGCTGAGCTGGAAACGGCTCTACAGGACTCTGGCTTTTTAGGAAGCTTAGGGCTTTTCATGTTCGGTTCAGGGTTTAGGGTTTAGGGTTTAGGGTTGAGGGGGTTCATGCACGATCACGATGCTAAGGAACCCTCCGGAACAGCAATATTAAGCGGGTTCCCCCCCGGATTGACAGCGACCCTACTGAGTTTCGCACGAAACTCACCGAAGCTCCGAAACGGAAACTGTAATGTAGGGGCCTACATAGCTACCAATACTTGTCGTCCCCTTTGTATTTTTATGATTTTTTGTGGGCCCCAAAACCCGTTTCCAATTATTCAGGCCCCTATATTACAATGCTTCGACAGGTTGAAACAACGCGCACTGCCGCGCAAGACAAGAGAGCACAGCCCTACCCATGGGCCCCAAAGTAGTTCGTATTCAGAATCCTATAAGGTAATCCCAAAAAGGAACTATTATGGGGCCTATGGGTGAGCACCCAAACGCCCCAGCTCTGAACCGTGCGAGTTGGCCCGTAGCGACTGAAACCCGAAACGGCCATAACTGAAACCCCTGAAGGAACCCTTATGAAGGCCTCGAACATACCGAACAAAATGCCCTAAACCCTAAGCACTAAATTCCCCAAAAGGCTTCAAACATCCAAAAATACACAAAACCCTAAGCCCTAAATTCCACCAAAAGGCTAAATCCTGAAGCATGTCCCTAAGTTTCTCGGCTGTTTTCCTCGCCTCCACGGGCCAGCAGCTCGTGTTGAAGCAGTAGAAGCGATACGCCTCAGGAGGCGCAGAATATAGGGCTTAGGGGTGCCAAGGGTTTAGGATGCGCCTCGACCGGCCGCGGGAAACCTTCCAGCTGCATGTCCCCCCGCTCCTCGTACATCAAAGCCTTAGCAGAATGGCTTTGATGGAGGGGTTTTCATCTGAACCCTAGAAACCCTAAAGGGTTTCTAGGGTGTTTAGGGCCGCGCATCTCGGGTAAGCGTAGAAGCAGAAGTTAGGGTTTGGTTTAGGGCTGGCTCGAATAGCCGACAAGCTCTGAGGGTTATACTCCCTACGATCAAGGGATCATGGGTTTGAGGGCTTAGGGTTGAAGGTTTAGGGTTGAGGGTTTAGGGTTGAAGGTTTAGGGTTTAGGGTTTGGGGGGGGTCATATAACTTGCTACTTCCCTAGAGTTGGGAGGCTGGAGCTCAAGTTGTCCCTCGATTTTGCGTTCTGAGGCCTAGGCCTAGGCTGAATAGCCCTCAGGTGTGGTATCAACCCCAAAGGGTCCATGTAATGGTATAGTATATGGGTAGTTCTCTAAATTAGGGTCTCCTTTTAGCTCTCCACTCTAGTACGGCACCCTTATAAAATGGACCCTAAAAGGGTCCCTAATTTAGAGAACTACCCATATACTTTGGGGGCCTAAGTAGCTACTATTTGGGACTTGGACCCTTTGGGAACACAAGCAGGGCACAGGGTCTGGGCATGGGTTTAAGGCAGATGGACTCAGCGGCCAGGGAAGGGCACCCTGAACCCTAAACCCTGAACTGAACCCTCCAAGACCCAATCTCACTCAGCCCTGAATTGTGAAAGCATGACATCAAACTTTCTAGGCTCGCCGCTCCTTTCTTTTCTGGGATGTCGGAGAACGTGGCAAAGCCCTCAAGGACGCCACGGCTGCCTCGACAAGGATTTCAGAACTTCCGGAGTATCGGAGAGATTCATGATGGGTCGAGGGTTCGGAGTCTTTGGTCCGAGAGGGTATGGGTTGTCGGTGTTCGGGTCTTGGGTTTTAGATTGCATAGGCCTGGGTTTAAGGTGTTGCAAGTGTGGCCCCCACTACGCAAATCGATGAGGGGATGTAGGATGTAAGTAAGCCCAGCAGATCCTAGTTTAGGGTTTAGGGTTTAGGGTTCATGGTTTAGGGTTTAGGGTTTAGGGTTTAGGGTTTTAGGGCATGGCCTCTGCAGTGGCAGATCCTGTGTGTGTAGTTCTCTAAAGTAGGGTCCCTTCTGGGGTCCTTCGTGTCAGGGTGCCGTACTATTTTGGAGGCCTAAAAGGCGACCCTAATTTATAGAATTTCTATGACCCACATTCAGAAGGACGGTTCCGAAGCACAGTGTCCATTGAATAACTTCAACAGTACCTGGTCTGCAGTCGTAGGTACGTAGGAGGTACTTAGGTAGGTAAGATAGGTGGGTAGATAGATTGATAGTCTTTCAGATAGACAGATAGACAGACAAACAGACAGACAGATGGATAGATGGATAGATAGGTAGATGAGCACGTAGGTAGAAAGACCAACGGACAGACAGATCGCAGGCTAGATAGATAGGAAGATACATACACATTACACTGCATTAGACTACATTCCCCTTGCATCACATTACAATACAATACATTGCACTACAGTGCATTATCGTAAAAAACGAATACAACACATGCAAGTCTACTACAGCAACAACTCTCCACCAAAGCCGTACCGCCGTACCCGAAACCCTAAACCCAAAGCTAACAAAGATAAAGCCCTAAAGCCTAAACCCTTAACCCTAAACCCTAAACCCTGAAAACCCGGTGCGCGGAGAACCTCCCTTCCGATAGTCGAAGGTCTTGGACACGGCCCAGCGGCCGCTGAGGAAACCTGAGTCGTTTAGGGGTTTAGGGTTTAGGTAAACCTGAGGACTGGACGCAGGCAGAGGCTTTCGTAGGAATGTAAGGGCCTTTGGAATTCTCAATAGGTTTTGAGTGTATACTGTACTGTAACTAAAGGAACCCCCAAAATAATATAGGGAATTGTGAAGGCCCCTATGATATACTTTGAACAGAGGCTCGGGAATATTATCTAGTGTACATTACAGGTATAGGTAGGGTTTAGGGCCTAGGGTATAGTTCAGTGGAGTTCAAGTATACATCGAGTTGCAAGGGGCAGCTTTACTGATTCAGGCCTCCATGTGTTGATTGTTTAGGGTTGGCAGTCCAGGGCTTAGGATTTCAGCAGCACCTGTGATTGAGGATGCTTGGACTCTGCATTCAGCGTGTGATTAAGGATTCAGGCCGGAATCCGACGTGTTGACGATTTCGGACTTGTGGGATTTCGGATGCACACGGATTGTTCAAAGAGCCCTGCGTACCTAAGAATATGGGCCAATATGCGGGTACTTACCCAGACCGTAATAGCAATTCCTACTATAGGAACCCACTTTTTGTGGGGCGTGTGCGAACATGAGTCTGGATCGAATAAGGCTTCAGATGATGGTAATTTAGGCTTATCTATTATTTAAACCTTAAGCCCTAAACCGGGTTTGGAGGTATGTAGTTCGGCCTTTAGGGGCTCAGGGATCTGCTTGGGGATTTTCGTCGGAGCTTCAGGTATGTGGTGCTTGAGCTCATCACTCAAGGCTTGTTATACTTTAGGGCTATAGGGCTTAGGGGTTTAGGGGGTTCAACCCTAAACCCTAAACCCTAAACCCTAAACCCTAAACCGTTTGAAGGGTTTAGAGTTTTGACTCAGGGCTTGGGGGCGGCTTGGGCATGGGCAGGGGCAGGAAGTTCCGGGTCGAAGAACGCTTCAGGTTTTCAAAAACCTTCTGGGGCCCGTGCTTCGCAGTTTGTGGTCGTAGTTCCCCGGAGGCTCTAAGATTGTGGGCTTGTGGTCAATTTTCAGGCTTGGAGAAGTCTCACACGTGCGACTATGAGCGGTTGAAAATTGTATCGCAAGCGGGTGCATGCGCAATAGAGCCCTTGATGCAACCCTGTGCACACCACATGTTCCCCAAACCTCGCTTCAACTGATGCTTTAGGGAAGAATGCACAGCACGAATCCTCGGTTCAGCACTTGAGATAGCACGGTAAGCAAGAACCCTATAAACCCCTTCGCTGAAACCCTACTTGTCTGACGAACTCTCGAAGAGACCCCGAAGTGCGTTTGTTTCTGCTGCCAGAAAGCTACGCACCGCCTCGCCGTGTACCAGACGTGGAAGGGGCGAAAACGCCATTGGCTCAAGATCATTTGGGCATGGGATTAGCAGTCAAGTTATTTGAGTTTCGGGCTTTGATTTGAGGGGCAGCGACATGGATTCCTTTCTTGCTACACCACTGCATGGGGAGTTGCTCATGGCCCAAGGGGCACGGGTCGAGTTGTGCGCGCTTTGATGTGGGTACAGGTATGCCTAGTAGACTGGAGGCTTTTGGACTGTCGGAATAGGGTTTAGGCTTGAGAGTTTAGGAAAACCCTAAACTCTAAACCCCCGTAAACCTAAACCCTAAACCCTGAAACCCCTAACCAGAAAAATCAAGGATTGGGGCCCTTGAGCACCGGTGGTCGCGGAATGCTCGGTGTTCGTCTCTACCATTGATCTATCTACCGACCTACCTATGTACTTGCCTATCTGTTTTTCTGTCTAGCTATCTGTCGATCGACCTACCGAACGATGCATCATTCTATCTGTCTGTATATCCAAACGTGTGAATCTCGTTCAATCTGTCGATCTATCTACCTATCTATGTACATATACACATATTTTTGTATGCAGAGTCTTATTTGTTTGTTTATGTATATATTTTTTATCTCTATATTTCTATGCATGTATGCATGTATGTGTTTAAGCATATTTGGATATGATCGAATATGTATGCACACATACCATGTTCAACAGAATCAAAATGACAGCACAAGCTAAATATGTCGATAGATGAACTTGACATGTTCCTTGCTGTCTGCTGCATGTACTCTCTTGCATTTCCTGGCTGCTTGTTTGTCCTGAAGAAGGCTACCGTATTAAAATGTGCGTCGGTCTCGGAATCCAAGGTACCAGATGCACAGAAGAAGACTAAGGATGACCCTAAACCCTGACAGCAAGGCTTGACGACCAGGGCGACTTGAATGATCGAATGATCATGTCATGTACAGTAGTAACTCAGTGGTACAGATAAACTTTCTATCCTGACCGAACATCGAAAAGCCCTGAAGACCGAAAGCCCTCAAAAGTCCAATCCCCAATCACCTCAAGTCCCGCATCCACTTATGAGCTTTACTATGAGCCAAGTGGAGTTTCGATTTCTGACCAACAAAAAGTGGGGGGTTTCCGAACATAGGGGACCCTAGTATAGTACCCTAAATAGTAGGATCCTCATTATAAGGACCCCAAACTAAGGTACCCCTTATTTTCGGAAACTCCCAAGTGAAGCCAAAACCGGCAGGTACGCAGCTGCAGGGGATGGAGGCTCCAAGTTCGGTGGCTAAGTAATGTTTGGGGTTTGGGATTTAGGGTTTGGGGTTTAGGCTTTGGGGTTTGGGGTTTAGGGTTTAGGGTTTGGGGTTTAGGGTTTAGGGTTTAGGGTTTGGGGTTTAGGGTTCTTAAAAGGGTGCCTCCAGCGAAGTTTTCAGGGTCTCGTCAGCATAGTATAGTGGTAGGGGACGACACACGGGGATGTTACCACTGACTATTGAGACCCCTGTCAGGCCGTCTGACACTAAACGTCTTGGCCTGAAGACAATCGTGCTTCGAATGCTCACCAAACCTTAAACCCTAAACCCTAAACCCAAAAACTTCTAAACCCTAAACCCTAAACCCTAAACCCTGAACCCTAAACCCTAAAACTTGAAAACCCAAAACCCTAAAACTTCTAAACCCTAAATCCTAAACCCTAAAACTTCTAAACCCTAAAACTCCTAAACCCTAAACCACCAAACTTCTAAACCCTAAACCCCAAACCCTAAGCTAAAGGCTCTGAGGCCTGAAACCAAACGTGCCGAGCCCAGAGGCCGCAATACCAAGTAGACCCCCTGAGAAACACCCACAGTTTCGGGGTTTAGGGGTTTAGGGTCTAGGGGTTTAGGGTTTAGGGTTTAGGGTTTAGGGTTTAGGGGTTAGGGTTTAGGGTTTAGCCCCGGACTTCCTTTCATTGCAAGTTCTACCTATATGTGTTTTTTTCACGGATCCTGCATGTGACTGAGGCACGAAATAAAGAACCGTTAATAATTAGAATTGGGTTTTGGTGTATATTATACTGTAGTCACAATAAGGAACCCCCCAAATGAGCATAGGTAATTATTCAGGCCTCTCCCTAAACCCTAAACCCTAAAACCTTCCCGATTACAATTCAACACGAGCCTCTTGGCCATCACCGTTGGGACGAGCCAGGTCCGCCCCTTCCTGGCCAGATCTTGGGTTTAGGGTTTAGGGTTTTCTACCTAACACGGTTCAATGTAGGGGCCTTAATAACTAGAATAAGGTTTTGGGGGTAGATTATACTGTAATTTTTAGTAAGGAACCCTAAGGAATAATAGTGGTGATTGGTTTGAAGTCGGGGCCTTAAATAATTAGAATAGGGTTTGGGGGTCCTTTATAGTATCATTGTAATAACTAGAATAAGGTCATGGGGGGATTTTATACTGTAATTATAATAAGGAACCCTAGATAATATTGGTTATTGGTTAAATGTAGGAGGCTTAATAGTTAGAATAGGCTGTTGGGGTCCTGCCTCCAGGCCCATATAGCCGAATTACTCAAACTGGAAACCTGACCACCCAACACTGGAGATGCGAAAATGTCGAGCCCCCAAGACAGCAAAACCTGACATTTCAACCAGGACTATGAAACCTTCTAGACCCACTTTTATGGAACCGATGTAGAACAAGACCTAAACCCTAAACCCTAAACCCAAAAAAGACCCCGCCTCCCCCTCCATGACACTCCGGGGCGCAGGAGCACAGCAGTGGAAGGATTGACGGTCAAGGGCTTCGCTGTTTCAGCGGTAGAGAAGTGTGGGTAGTTGTCAAAATTATGGTCCCTTTGGGGATCCCCTAAATAATAGGGTTTAGGGTTTAGGGTTTAGGGTGCCGTATTATAATAAAAACCCAAAAAGGGACCCTAATTTTGACAACCACCCAAGTGTGGCTGCCCTTGGAAGATCGAGCCCTTGTGTGCTGCCAGCAGGGGCTTGGGCTAATTAGGGTTGGCAGTTTGGGTTCTGGCTTGCAGCTGTAGAAGTTTACACTTAGGGTATTGAGGCTACATAAAGGATTCTAAAAGAGTGCAGGGGTGTTCGGGCTGCTAGCAAGTTGCCTCAGACTTCGAGCCTTTAAGAAGTGTACATGTCCCTTTGCTGGGGCGAGGCAGGGTTCGATGCCCTGTTGAGGCTTGGGTTGACTGCTTTGCTTTGTCTGTTGCTGTGCGTGTCTGACATTGACGCAGCATGAGACGAGCGGAAGAAGCAAAGCAGGATCGGCCCAGAACCGTGAGACTGCGCTGGGGGAAATCGGAAACACTACTTCCTGTCAGCTTCTGGCGAAGGCCATGCACCAAGACACTTTAAAGCAGGTCATGCCACGGTGGACAACATGCAACTGTAGGACGACAAGCTGCCCATATTTCTTGGAGGCATCACATCATTGTCTGAAAGATCGCTGTGGCGAACGGCAACCGTTTACCTGCAGCTGCGTGTGTGTGTGTGTGTGTGTGTGTGTGTGTGTGTGTGTGTGTGTGTGGGGGGGGTTGTTTGAAGCTCCAGCAGTGCGGGGACGAGTGTGAAGGATTGGGGACTACGAGGAGCTATTGAACAAATAAGTACATACATATTGCTATATATATACACACATGTACATACTAATTTATTTATGCATGTACTTATTGCTTGTTTGTTTGTTTGTTTAACTGCACATTCGTTTATTTATGTACTTCTACCTATCGATGTACCTATTTATATATCTATCTATCTGTTTATCTTCCAACAACCTATGTATCTATATGTTTATCTTCTATCTATCTATCTATCTATCTGTCTATCTGTCTATTATCTATCCATCTATCCATCCATCCATCTCTGTGCCTATCTATCGATCCGTCCATCGATCCGTCCGTCTGTCTGTCTGTCTGTCTGTGTCTGTCTGTCTGTCTGTCTGTCCGTCTGTCTGTCTGTCTGTCTGTCTCTCTATATGTCGATCTATCTATCTATCTATCTATCTATCTATCTGTCTATCTGTCTATCTATCTGTCCATCTATCGGTCATCTCACCATCTGTATATATATATATATATATGTATATATATGTATATATATGTATATATATGTATATATATGTATATATATGTATATATATGTAGATGTACACACATATGATTTATGTCACCACAACCTGCAAAAGAAGCAGACCCCATTTACAACTGGTCGAGGCATGGACGTTCGGCGTGCAGATGGAATGTGGATTATTGCTGCTATTATCTTAGTGATCTCCCTGTTCAACAACTAATCAACTTCAATCAATGCTTGTTACCCTAAGGGTCCATGTACCCAAGTACTATATACTTTGGCCTTAAAGTAGTCTCTATATAGGTACTTTGGGGCCAATGTATATACTATATGAGTACATGGACCCTTAGGGTTCTGTCTCAAGAACTCTCCCTAAACCCTAAACCCTAAACCCTAAACCCTAAACCCTAAACTCTAAACCCTAGACCCTAAACCCTAAATCCTAAACCAGCTGATAACGGGCACCATGCAGGCAAGCAGCCGTCCCCATCTGCAGAAACGCCCGCCACCGTGACACCAACGGCTCCTGTCGTGACGTTTGTCAGATTTATATTGGGGTAAATAAATTATAGATTCTGGGAGGTTGTATACTCAAAATACGTTGAGCCCTCAAGGATCGTATCACGGATTACTTCGGATTGAATGTAAAATCTAAAGGAACTCTATGCCGAAGCTCGGATCCCTCGCGCTATAGGGACCGGATGAACACCGAACTTAGCGGACAGAGGGAGCCAGCGACAGGCAACCTTCCCAAAATACGACGGGGCCTGAGTAAGCAGAATAGGAATTTCTATGCAGGGATCCTTGAAGGGCTCTAGAGGGGTTGGTACAAGGGTAGTGGTTACTGAAAGGGTTTATAGTATTTGGGCCTTAATATGGAAGGGCTTTGGGGGGTGTATTCTCATGCAAATATGCATAGACCCTACTGGGAGAATTTTTCTACAAGATGTAGAAAGTATTCCGTCTGTAAATCTACGGTACAAGGGGCCGAAACCTGAATGCAACTGTTACCAAACAGCACCATGAAACCCCAAACCAAAGCCCTAAGCCCAGAATCCAATGCCCCAATCCTCCAGCCCCCAACCCTGAACCCTAAACCCTAAACCCTAAACCCTAATACCCTAAACCCTAAACCCCAATACCCATCATCCCTCGAGTGAATTCCTGCAAGTAGGCTGTCTGCTCATGAGCTCGGGCAGCTAGGGCATGGGAAGAATTCGCAGCTCAGCAGCAGGAGTAGTAGCAATACGGCTGATGGACAACATCCTGCATGACCTTATATACCTAAACTATGGGATTTATGGTACTATACTATATTTGGGTCACGCAGAAATTTGTCCATCAACAGTACTAGTAGAATGTAGCAGCCTGAAAAGCACCAGCAGTCGCAGTAGCAGTAGCGGAAGCGGTAGCAGTTGCTGCTGTTGTCTTGTGCCCACATGTGTCTCTGTGTGTGTGTGTGCGCGTTCTCTTCGGGGGTGGTTTCTCTGCCCTGAACCCACTGACCCTAAAGTTTAGGGTTTAGGGTCAAACCCCAAACTCATCAATGAAGCCTTCGCCTACGACCAGCAGCAAGTCTGCTGCAGGCACGAACGCCCACCTGAAGAGTTTTCGGTGTCGGGGTCCGCAAAGCCTTTCTAGAAGGGGTTTGTGAGGGTTTGGGTCTGTGGGCTTAGGGCTTTAGGATAATGGGGTAGGGGGGTGCAGGTTTCGGGTGCAGGGCTTCGAAGTTTTCGTTTTTGGGGTGTAAGGGGGGGGATTTTGCGTCTTCCGACCACTCCGGTAGGTAGGGCCTGCGGTTCACTGCATATCTTTCGGACTTCAGTTTGGAATTTAGTGGCTGGGGATGAAAGCAAACCGTGTTTCACAACATGTGAAAGCCAATAGTGATCTCTGGCCCTACACCGCCTTTGAAAGAAGTGTCCCAAGCACTTGAAGACCTTTGCGTTGCTTTTCACATCCAATCACGCCGCTCTGTGCAGAACGCTAGTCTTCCCAGGCCCATCAGCACATGCTTGAATCCTAGCCGCCTTAGCCAGACCGCAACACCCACCTCGACCCCAAAACTCTGCCCCAAAGCATGAAACCGGTAAGTCCCAAATCCATACGTTTCCCGAAAACTTGCTTCCCACATCCACGACCATGAAGCCTACGCCACCTCATTAACTCTCTTGCTGAGTCCACCGTCAAGAAAGGTTGTAACTCTCCATTGCAACAAGGCTGTGGCAATAGAAACCCAGAACTAAACGTCAACTACCCTTTAACCTCAATAGGTCCAAGCTTACCGCCTCAGCTACTAAGACATCAGCAACAACTCCAAACTCCTCCGAAGCGCTCTGCCGGGGCGGCCCCGCGCTGAGCCTCGACCTCCGAGGTGTCGAGATCCGAATATGGGGCTCCAGGTTGGCATCCCTCCCTACTAATGTTTAGGGTTTAGCGTTTAGGGTTTAGGGTTTAGGGATGAATTCATATGTCATTGTGTGCACGAAGGCATGTACCGATGCTTGGATGTATGAGATGACGTGGATGTACATGTACATACAGTGATACGCCTCCATCCATCCTTCCATCCATCTTTCGCGGCCCCTGCAGCAACAATCTGAACCAGGACCGTCGAATTTCAAACTGTCTGTAGCATACAAGCATGCACAAACAAATAAGGGTATACACTCGACGGCAGCATTCACAAGACGATTTGGCTGTTTCATCTACTGAAATCTCAACCCTAATCCGGAAAACTAAGACACTAAAACTGTTCAAAGACCCCCAAATCTTGAAACCCCAACCCCTGAACCCTAACACCCTAAACCCTAAACCCCCGAACCCCAAAACCTTAAGCCCTGCCCCCCCCCCCCCCCTGCAGCGAACCCCTTAACGGAACCCTCGAAGGGCCTGAATAATTAGAACAGGGTTTTTTTGAGGCCCATTATGCTATAACTATAATCAGGAACCCCCAAAATAGGATAGGCAATTATTTACCTGAACCCTAAACCCTTAATAGTAGCCCTTGTAGAACCCTTTAAGGAACCCTTTAAAGGAACCCCCAAAATAGTATAGCCAATTATTAGGGCCCCTATATTAGGACATAAAAAACCCCAAGGCCCCGGCGTCCGCTGCGCCGCGACTCTCCGTTCGGAAGAGGCCGAGGCAACGCCTTCTTCCAAAGGAGTATTTCGGGCTGCTTCGGTAACTATACATATACATTGATGTACAGATACATATAATATATATATATATATATATATTATATTACATATATATATATATAGAGAGAGAGAGCTATGTATATGAACATATATGTACATACATATGTATACATACATTACATGTTCATAAGCATAATATATATATATATATATATATATATATGTATGTGTATATATATATATATATATGTGTATATATATGTATATATACAGATGTATGTATATGTATATTTATTCGCTTGTGTATTCATGTGTCTGCTTATATATGCAGCCATGCTTTATAATAAGATAAGATCAGCTGAGATCGGACCAGGTAGAATACGATCAGCGTAAGAAAACCTGAGCTGAGATAAGGGAATACGTGCCTGAACCCTAAACCCTAAAACCTAAACTCTAAACCCTTAACCCTTAAACCCTCAACGCTAAACTCTAAACCCAAAACCAATTCCGGGTTGAAGGGGAGTTCATAGTCTAGTATAGAGTTGGTGTTTGAAAAGGACGAGGGTCGGAGTTTCAGGGGTTTCGATTCTGCCATGTAGGGCTTGCGGTGCAAGACTAAGGCGGGTGTAAGGTTCAGGGTTAGGGGTTTAGGGTTTAGGGGTTTAGAGGGTTTAGGGTTTAGAGGTTTAGAGGGTTTAGGGGTTTAGAGGGTTTAGGGTTTAGAGGCTTAGAGGGTTTAGGGTTTAGGGTTTTAGGGTTTGGGGTTTAAGGCTGTATGCGCGGTGAGTCGGACTCCACAGCGTTGCGCACCAAAGCCCAGACCAGCAGTTTCAAGCCTAGCGGAAGTCACCTGGGTAGTTGTCAAAATTAGGGTCCCTTTTTGGGGTACCCTAAATATTAGGTGCCGTATTATAACAAGGACCCAAAAAGGGACCATAATTTTGACAACCACCCACCTCGTTGCAGGATCGAGGGATGGCAAGTAGGGCTTAGAGAAGGCGACATGAATAGTTGCCCCGAACACATTGAGATCCTGTGCCTTACCCATAGGCTCCATAGTAGTTCATATTTGTGGTTTATATTTAGGACCCTGGTTGATGGACAAAATCCTGCATGACCTTATATACCGAAACTATGGGATTTATGGTACTATACTATGTTTGGGTCATGCAGAAATTTTGTCCATGAACAGTATGGAGCCTACAGGTAACGTAAAACAAGAACGGGACCCCTTGTATTGCTTCTCACTGTGGCGGTCCTGGCAGTTTCTGCCTCTTCCCCGTCTCCCTTCCTGGGCAGGTGGGATATGGGTAGTGTTCAAAATCAGGGTCCCTTTTGGGGGTGCTTTTTACAAGAGTGCCGTACCAAATTGGGAACCTAACAAAGGGACCCTAATTTAGAGAACTACCCATATGATCCATATGCGTACAGATTGTGGATTCTGGGTTCTGGGGTATATAGAGGGTTGGGGGAGGCTTGGAGATAAGGGGTGTGGGGTCCAGGAGGATGTGGATCTCCAGCCGAACCAAGCCGTCCAGAACCCTAAACCCTAAGACCTACAACCGCACACCCTGAACCCTGAAAACCCTAAGGCCTTGAAGCCTGAATTCTCCCCCCAAAACCTAAGCACAGCTTACCGACCCGCTGGGCCTGAGAGTATTTGCTTTTCCTGTTCGTTGCCCTTTTTCTCAAAATATGTCTGCAACTTTTATAGTAGAGTATCATGTGCCATGATATACCATCTCATGCCCTATAGTGTAACGTAGTGTAATGTACCTTCAGATGTCACTAAACCCTGAACCCTAAACCCTAAACTTTATGAATTCCCGGAGGAAGCCTCCAAGACGAAGCCCCGAACCCTGGGACTGTCGCAAGGCCGGCTCCCCAGTCACCATGCAAAGGGAAGGTCGGGTTTAGGGTTTAGGGGTTTAGGGGTTTATAGGGGCTTAAGGTTTAAGGTCTAGGGTTTAGGGGTTTAGGGTTTAGGTGTTTAGGGCTTTAGGGGTTTAGGGGTTTGGGGTTTATAGGAGTTTGCAGTTCATAGGGGTCTAGGGGTTTAGGGGTTTAGGGGTTTGGGCGTTTAGGGGTTAGGGGTTTAGGGTTTAGGGTTTCGGGTTTAGGGGGGTTTTGGGGTTTAGGGGTTAGGGGTTTGGGGTTTAGGGTTTAGGGGTTTAGGGGTTTAGGGTTTAGGGGTTTAGGGTTTTAGGGTTTGAGGGGTTTAGGGGTTTAGGGGGTTTAGGGGTTTAGGGTTTGGGGTTTACACTTTCTGTAGGCAGAGCAGGATGACTACTTCTGGATGTTCGTTTAGCCCCTGACATCCGCACCCCCCCCCCCCTTCACCCCTCCCACGGCGCCGTTGAGTTTAGACAGTTCGATGCTCCCTGGCTTGCAGATCCGTGGGTGGAAGGCTAGCCCCGAGCCACCAACCGAAATCGGCAAGCCAAACCACCCAACATCCCAAACATAATCCTGTAGGCCCCACAGCCCTCAACCCACGCCGTAAACCGCTCTGGAACCTATATAAAACCCGAACAAAACTTCTAAGGAAGGAACCCTAGTGCAGTCAGAAGGAGCTCGAGGGGATCGGCAAAATCGCGCCACAAAGCAGCGCACAACTTCCTGGGAGCGTCGGGCTTAGGAGGTTTAGGGCTGAGCGCTTGGCAGCTCGGAGATTGGGGGGCGGGGTGGGGAGGCTCCGGGCTTTCAGGACATAAGAGTTCAGGGTTTAGGGTTTAGGGTTTAGGGTTTAGGGTCTTGAGGTCTAGGTGTCGAAATGGTGCAGCTCCGAAAATCTCAAAAGTCTGGGCCTACCACCGCAGGTCTTTGGATTAGGCTTCGCAGTGCGGCCTAGGGCTCAGGGCGTAGAATAGAGGCGCGAGGCCTTTGCGTAAACGGGCTTACGGTTCAGAAGTTCAGGGTTGAGACTAGAGCAGAGCCCAATTAAGCCGAGAAGAACAGAACGAAATGCACGAAGTAGCCACGTCCAAACCCCAGGGGTGGACCACATCAGCTTCAGAAACATGCAAAGAAGAACACACAGCACAGAGGCAGCGAATCATGACATGCAAAGCAAAAAGGCGAAAGACAAGGACACCAGAAAAGTAAGGGCTGAGGATGGAAGACGGTAAGAAGAAGAACCCGCCCCGCAGACTCAGGAAACAGTAAAAGCCTGAGACCTGCAATCGGATCAGGCTCCAGGGTTTAGGGCTTAGGGTTTAGTGATCCACTGACAGCTTAAATCTCCGCCCAAAGCCTGAAGCCCCACGCCCAAAGTCCCAGAGCCAAAAGACACAATCCCCTGTAGGAACCGCCATGCATAAGCCCCAGAAGAACCCAGTAAGCACCAAACTAGATCAGATTCATAATATAGGGGCCTTGATAATTAGAATAGGATTTTAGCACCCATTATTCAATAAGTGGAATAGGGAACCCCCCGTGATAGTATAGGTAATTATTAAGGCCCCTATATTAGACCTGAAGACCCTGGTATCTAAAACCCGAAACATTGCAACCCAGAGCCCTGCTGTTACTCGCAAAGGCAAAGAAGCTCTTAATCTAAAAAAACAACTTGTAAACCCTCGGGCGAACAAACCAGCACAGAACCCTAAACAGCCCTAGACACTACAAAACCATAAACGACCCTAAACCCTAGACCACCATGAACCCCTAAACTTATAGATCCCTTGAAAGGAACCCTGAATGGATCCGTTCTAATGTAGATAGACTAGGGTAAAGGGTATATTGTACTGTAGTTGTAATAAGGAATCCCAAAACCCAAAACCCTATTCTAATTATTTCCCTAAACCCTAAACAGTCACCCTGAACCCTAAACCCTAAAACCCTCAAACCCTAAAACCCTAAACCCTAAACCCTAAACCCCTAAACCCTAAACCCCTGAAACCCTAAAACCTAAACCCTAAACCCCTAAACCCCTTAACCCAAAGCCCCAAACCCCCTAAACCGTCAACCCTAGGGTTTAACCCTAAACCCCTAAACCCCCTAAGCCCAAACCCCCTAAACCCTAAACCCCTAAACCCTAAACCCTAAACCCTAAACCCTAAACCCTAAACCCTAAACCCTTTAGGAACCCCCCCTTCTTTTGCGGTACCGGGTAAGCGGCCTCAGCTCGGCGTCGGACCAGGGAGCTGCCTGGAACGGAAAGAAAAACAAAAGGGTTTAGGGTTTAGGGTTTAGGGTTTAGGGTTTAGGGTTTAGGGACCCAAAGCTGGGACTTTTGGGGTTTTAGGGGGGTTTGCGTTTAGGGGTTTCGGGGTTTTGGGGTTTGGGGTTTTGGGGTTTTGGGGCTTTGGGGTTTTGGGGTTTAGGGGTTTTGGGTTATTATTTAGGGTTTAGGGGTTTAGGGGTTTTGGGTTTGGGATTTCTATTGAGGGTTTAGGGTTTAGGGTTACTATTGAGGGTTTCGGGGCCTTGGGTTTAGGGGCTAAGGGTTTTTTATTTAGGGTTTAGGGCTTAGGGGGTTTTGGGTTTAGGGTTACTATTTAGGGTTTGGGGCTTAGGGCTTACGGCTACTATTTGGGTTTGGGGTTTACGGGTGCGGCAGCTCCTGAGTTTAGAGGGTTGGACGTGAAACCCAAATCTAATCATCAGTATAGGGTTTAGGGTTTAGGGTTTAGGGGTTTAGGGTGTAAGGTCGGGATTTATGTAGGTGAGCCGGGGCTCGAGAGTCTAGAGGGTTCCGGAATTTTGTTCTAGGGCTAGTTTTGCCAGCTTGTTCCAAGGTTTCACAAACTTTTCATGGTTGCTAGTAAGGTTGTTGTAGGGTTTAAGAAGGCTGCTATCGGGCTTTGTAGTGTTTGATAAGACGTCATATGGGCTGCCATACGTCATGCAGGGTCGTAAAAATTGTTTATAACGTTGCTCGTGGCTTTATAGGCTCGCCATTTGCAAGTAACAGGGCATGAACAGTTGGAACAGGGTTCTGGGTATGCACAACTAAACAGATGTTGACAACGAAGGCAGCATTTATGGACTGTGCGGGATGCTAGTGCTAATAGTTACGTGCTACTTATTCAGGTCTTATCGCACGGTTCTACAAGTTGTATAGGAGTGCTTCTGAGTGTGGTGTTTAGGACTCAATATTCAGGGTTCGGGAGTCAGTGCATAAAGGACTGAGACTTCGGTCAAGGTTGTGCCAGTCGCAACGGTAGTGCTAGTAGCAGCTTACTTGGAGCAATTGCGGGCATGACAAACTTGATACTGTTACTTTAGTTTACAAAAAACAATCATAACCCTACCCTGCTTAGTGAGTCTAGTAGTCGCAGTTGTCTGAGTAGTCGTAGCAGCAGCAGGGGCAGTCGCAGTCGTCGTCGTCGTAGCAGCAGTAGAAGCAATCGTAGTAGTAGCATCAGCAGCAGCAGCAGCAGCAGCAGCAGCAGCAGCAGCAGTAGTTGCGGTTTTGTAGTCGTCATCGTTGTCGTCGCCGTCGTGTTCGTCGTGGTCTTCGGCATCCTCGCCGTCGTAATCATCATGACCGTGGTCTTGAAGTCCACCTGAATATAAGCAAGAAGAGTAGCAAATACAATTGCAAAGCATGCAACATAAGGGCAGATCGCATACATTGGTCGTCGTGGCAACGATGACGTCCACAGTCCTCACTACGTGAGACCTCACCTCTGCATCACTGTTGGGCAGGACCGCGCGGATGATCTTGCGCCAGCCTACGGCTGGCAGGCGTGGGTTTTTCAGGCTGTCGCAGCTGCTGGCTGAGGGGTCAGGCTCAGAGGAGTGTCGCTCAGAAAAGCAATGTAAGTGCAAAGGCGCTGTGGGCTGTTTCCCCCTTGATTGCACGACTGTTAGCCTGCTGATGCCGGGCTTTGCTGCGACAGTTTGTCTTTTGATGGCTCTGGGCGATTCGGCAAAATCGCTTGGAACTCAGAAATTCTGTATATTGAGCCTTTGGAGGATCAGGATTGCTAGGGCTCTTGGGGAGGGAATGCTAGCAGAGCTGGGGGTATACATTCTTGACAGAAGCATGCGTGGGTGCTGATTTCGATATAGTTTACGGTTGAGTGTTTTTTACTAACCTTCCTAACCCCTTTAGTAACCCATATATGAGTTACGAAACCCTTATAGCAACTCCGATCATTACACTACAAGTCCATAAACCTGAAACCCTACGAGAACGGCGCCCACATACTTCACTTTGTGACATTAAACTCAAGCACCTACGATTTTATGTGTGCATATATTACTACTACTACTGTTCTTATACAACCGTGTATATGTTCATAAGCCCGACCTGGTTCCGGAAGGTCCCAAAGCGCGCGCGCAATTTGCAGGAATTGTGTGTGGCGAAGTTGATGCTGCAGTGGGACCGATTTCAGTCAACAACCTTGGGGATCACAAACCTTCGGTGTTAACATTGTGGGTCTTATTCTTCTAACTATGACAATAATTACTACTGCTATTGTTATGCTTAGTAGTAAAACCGTCTTTATAATATTTATAGTCTTGCTACTCTTATTGCTATGATTTCCCCGAAACTTTGAACCGGTAACCTGCCTGAACCCTAAACCCTAAACCCTAAACCCTAAACCCTAAACCCTAAACCCTAAACCCTAAACCCTAAACCCTAAACCGACCCGAGTCTTAAGGCAGCTAAGCCGCGCTTGGCCCAAGTCGACCAATCCTTCCGAAGGTGCTCAAAGGTTTGGGCTTTACAAGTTGGGGTGAAACCCTGAGCCTGCAACCCTAAACCCTCAACCCTAAACCCTAGGCCCTAGACCCTAGACCCTAGACCTTCAACCCTATAACCCCAAACCCTCAATCCTAGACTCTAAACCATTTTGGGTAGCACGATTCAGCAACTGCTGCCGCGGTGTCGGGGGGTGTCCCACGCCGCGGCCCCCGTCATAGCAGGGAGGATCGGTCACCCGGTTCACCCCGCCGGGAAAAAACGCAACAGTACCACAAGAGCAACAATTGCAACAGTCAAACTAGCGACGACAACACCAGCAATCACAGCAGCAACAGCACGCTACCGCCACCAGCACCACCACCAGCACCACCATCCTCAGCACCGCCACCACCACCACCACCACCACCACCACCACCGCCACCGGCACACCACCACCTTATCATTTTACGTTAGATCATAATACACAACATATTGTAATATATTGTACTGCATTATGATTTGTTTCCTGTATTAGATCACACCACTACCACAACCACAAGCACCAGCACCACGATCACCACCACTACCACCACCGGCAGAAAACGAAACCCTCGTCCCTGTTTCGTTTTGAACCACACCCCTCTCCCGGCCCAGCTGCATGCTTCCGGTGATGCTCTTCCCCCTGTCAGTCCCACCAAACAGAAACGCCACAAATGGCCTTTCATCCCGGTCCTCGACCAGTCACTAGTTCTGCCACATTGAACGTCATTGAACAACGCAGCAGAGCGACAGGGTTCTTGCATGCTTGTCCGAATCGCAAAACTCTATGAAATCCCTGTAAAGCCGGGACAGATCTATAGGATTGTACAAAACCCTGAAGGGAATTTAGTGTAAAAAACAGTCTCGCAGGGTTCTGGGTGGTTTTGTCTAACATTTTGGGCTTCAGGCTGTGGGTTTTAGGACTTGGGCCTTTGTGGTTTTTAGGTCTTCGCGTTCTGGGGTTCTTCTGCTGTTTTATGAGGGGTCCTGTGGGGGCTTTGGGTTTTTTGGTGAGAGGCACAGGCCTGTCGGATTAAGGGGTTTAGGGCTTAGTGCTTCGGGGCGACTTTAGTCTAGGGTTTACGATTTGGTTCGGGTTGAATGCTCAAGGATTTAGGCTTTGTTCAGTTGATCTGAGGTGCTGTGCAGGGTCTTTGGAGGTCCCAGGATGGCGTTGGGTTGGAGAATGGGACAAGGGCTCAAGTATCGGAATGTGCGGCACCAGGGTTGAGACGTTAAAGCGTGTGCACGCCGCTATGGTACATCTAACACTTTTACGAACACTATGCAATCAGTGCGTGTGAGCAGTGGTTTACCCAAACAATAAGAAGTACCCATGTGTTTGATGTCAAGCTTTGCCATGAACACAAGACACAAGGAAACCCTAAACTTCGCGTTGCAAAATCTGGTTTTTGCAGCAATTTATACTCTACGAACTAAGGCACCCTATAAACCTTATACTGAAAAAACAACACTCGTCGACTGTGCCTCCAAACTCAACACAGCCCGAAATGCCAGGCACGGCACTCCTCCTCAACCTTCAGATGCCAACTCCGCAAAGCGCACCCAACTCTGCAGCTGGCGAATACAGTTTTTACACAGGCTAAACAAATCTGCAGGTGAAAAAAGAGAAACAATGCGGGAGTACATGGGTAGGGACCGTGATTGCGGGAAGATCACTAAACCAGACATCTTAGAACTTGACAAAAACTTGCACCCGAAACTCTAAGTCCTAAACCGCAGAACCTGAAATCCCTAAGCCGCAGCAATTCTCCGTCCTTCTCCTTGATGGCGCCAGAGGCATCGCCTCAAACTCAGGTCGTTCGAGGCTCCGGGCAGTTTAGTTCAAGGAATTGTGCTTGAGAGGGTTTAGGGTGTAGGGTTTAGGGGTTTAGGGGTTTAGGGATTTAGGGTTTAGGGGTTTAGGGGTTTAGGGGTTTAGGGGTTTCGGGTTTAGGGGTTTCGGGTTCAGGGNNTTAGGGGTTTAGGGGTTTGGGGTTACACAACAACAGGTCGCCCCTATATAGTCCTATATACTCAATACCCACCCACCAGGAGCCAAAGGTAAGTGCGTTACCCCCAATTCGTGAAAACACACCAAGCAGAATGTTGCTGTGTATTCTGCCACTGTCCAGATCTTCGTGTGTGTGGAGCACTCGAACGAAGAATGCCGACCCTCTGGTAGCCACAAGGTATATCTTGACGAATGTTCGCGAGAAAGCGGGTGCAATGAGGTCTTTGACAGCCAGTAGCCAGTTTCAGCGGGGATCTTGTTCAGCAATGCGCGGGCCCATGCACGCAAGCGGCCAGCCGGTTCAAGCCCACGTCGCTCAAGGCGTCACAAGTCGGCCATACCGGGATTAGGGTTGTGGCCTTAGGCTCTGGTGTATTGTGCTGCAGTTCTTGTAGCGGTTGGTCCCAGTGCTTTGGCTTCAGAGCCTGGGATCATAAGGAACCCACTACCCATAGGCCCCATAGT